ACCCAGAGATGCCTCAAAAGGCCTGTCGATCCTGCATCTGAAAACTCCACGGAGCGGTTCTGCTCTGTCACGCGTGGGGTTGGCATGAGCCAGGGTTGATGGCTTTGTGTATGTGTGTGTACATGTGTATGTTATACATCCACAGCTGCCTTGGTGCTATTAGACCCCAGGGTCTGGGGTCTAGTAACGGAAGCCAGGAAGGTGTGAACTGCAGGGGTGCACAGGACACCCCATGGGCCCTCCCTGTGACCAGCACACTCTCCTCTACAAACAGCTGACAGGGTGGGAGCTAAGTCACAGCCCAGCAAGGGAGGAGAGGCCTTGCTGTGGGGACCAGAGCGCCCCCAGCTTGCTGCAATGTCCCCCTCTGCTGTCCCGGCCACTCCACTTCCCTCTAGGGCAGGATACGCAGTTTGTTCATGCATTGGGTTTGAACCACCAATCTTCTTGCTGGGAGCAGAGCACTTAACCGCTGTGCCACCAGAGTTTCTTCCCAAGATTCAGGAAGAGTAGACCTGATCTGCAAACGCCGCACGCAGAAGATCCTGAAAGGTGGGCCTGGGTGGGCAGGGGCCCTGCTCTGATGCACTGGCGGCTTCCAGGTGAAGGCGGTGCTGGATGACATTCTCGAGAAGATCCCGGAGACGTTCAACATGGTGGAGATCATGGCCAAGGCGGTGGAGAGGACCCCCTACGTGGTGGTCGCCTTCCAAGAGTGTGAAAGAATGAACATCCTGACCAACGAGATGCGCCGCTCCCTGAAGGAATTAAACCTGGGGCTCAAGGTACCGCCGCCACCAGCCCAGCCTGCTGTCCTGGACACTGGACAGTCAGTCCCAAGGTGTAGTTCTTGTCCAACACGTGTGGGGTCCTCCCAAGTCAGAGTCTGCAGGTGTGATTAATATGTAATGCTGAACCTGGGGGCGCCATGGGTTAGGCACTGGTCCGCTAACTACAAGGTAAGCAGTTCAAACCCACCAGCCATCCGCTTGGGGTGGACTGGTGGGATGTGTAGTCCATATAGAATCTTGGTGATGCTGTGAGTTAAGCACTAGGCCGCTAAGTGCAAGGTCAGTGGTCCAAACCCACCAGTCCCTCCTCAGTTAAAAGATGAGGGTATCTCTACTTCTATAAAGACTGAAAATTCAAATCCTGTGCAGAGGGTCACGGTGCGTGCAAACGGACTGGATAGGGTGGGATTTTGCTCTTCGAGCCTATGATCTGATGTTGAGGGATTGGAGCTGGGCACGTACAGACCTCTGTGGGCTCCAGACCAGGGGCTGCTGTGCTGCTGTGGCCTAAGGAAGAGAGCGCCCCATGTGTGTTTCAGGGGGAGCTGACCATCACCACTGACATGGAGGACCTGTCCACAGCCCTGTTCTACGACACAGTGCCTGACACGTGGGTGGCCAGGGCCTACCCCTCCATGATGGGCTTGGCAGCCTGGTATGCCGACCTGCTGCTCCGCATTAGGGTAAGAGGGAGGCTGCAGGCTGCTGCAGGCTCCACATTAGGGTAAGGGGAGGCAGCAAGCTGAGGCTAGGCATTCCCTCACCAAGGAAGGAAACAAGTGGGCATGAACATGCAGCATAAGGCTCTCCAAGAGCACGAGTGAGGCCCAGAGTTGGATCCAGGGTGCAGGCAGGCTGCAGAGATCACGGCTCCCCAGGTGCTCTGAGCTTGGTGGGGCAACCCACGCCCCCGCCCTCAGCTCCGCGCTTCCTTGCAGGAGCTTGAGGCCTGGACCACAGACTTTGCACTGCCCACCACCGTGTGGCTGGCGGGCTTCTTCAACCCGCAGTCCTTCCTGACGGCCATCATGCAGTCCATGGCCAGGAAGAATGAGTGGCCGCTGGACAAGATGTGCCTGTCTGTGGAGGTGACCAAGAAGAACCGGGAGGACATGACCGCACCCCCCCGAGAGGGCTCCTACGTGTACGGGCTCTTCATGGAAGGTGAGCAGCTCAGCTGGGCACACCCCAGACCACCAGCGGGGAGGAAGGGCCCTTGATCCTGGAGTGAGAGCCTGGTTCTTCGTGTGGGGCTCAGAGCTGGGACTTAGGCGATGGGGTCTGACCTCAGCCAGGCCAGCCACTGCCTGGCTGACCCTGTGGCAGGAGGGACGAGAGGTGTCCGGGTCCCCAGGTCCCACACCCCTAAAGACACCTCCAGCCCAGTCCTTCTCTGTGTTTATTTTGGATTACAGACAAGAGATACAAACATCATTAAATAAGAGGGCAGGAAATGACAGGGTCTGCTGGACAAGTTGTATTCCTAGCTGCATACAGCGCTTGTACTGCACGTGGACACCTGGGGAAGGAAGGTGGACACATGGGCGGGGGGCAGCTTGGACCGCCTTCAACAGCCCGCTGGACTCAGGAGTCCTGCTGTGAGTGGAGGGTGACAGGTGAGCTTTGCAGCCACGAGCCAAGGGTGGACTGTCCCCACAGAAGGAGCACAGACAGCCGTGCACAGCGCCCTGAGAGCCAGGCCCGAGTCTGGGGTCCCGCCTGCAGGCAGCACACTCCCCTCCGCCCTGATGCTGGGCCCTGCTGTCCCCGCAGGTGCTCGCTGGGACACACAGACGGGCGTCATCGCAGAAGCGAGGCTGAAGGAGCTGACACCAGCCATGCCTGTCATCTTCATCAAGGCCATTCCTGTGGACCGCATGGAAACCAAGAACATCTATGAGTGCCCGCTCTACAAAACGCGTATCCGCGGCCCCACCTATGTGTGGACCTTCAATCTCAAGACCAAGGAGAAGGCGGCCAAGTGGGTCCTGGCGGCCGTGGCACTGCTTCTGCAGATGTAGCTGAGGCCCACGCTGCCCCGACCCCGAGACTGTGCCTCATTTCCTACAGAACACAGAAGCCCATCTGTCCCGAGGGTGGGGACATGGGAGGAGGAAGGCAGCTGAGTAAACCTGGGATGAAGTCACTGGTCTGGGCTCTGATTCATGCGACTGGTGGATAGCTTTCTGTGCCCAAGGGTCACCGGGCTGAGACCCTCAGCCAGGGGCAAGCATCCACAGATTCGGCTCTGTGGGACCAGACTAAATGGCTCTGTGCTGCAATCGGACTTGGGCTGACTCCCCTCAGCCAGGGGCAAGCATCCAGGGACTCAGCTCCCAAGTCCTGCCCCCAGCAGACTGCAAATCCTTCCCCCAAGCGCATTCTGGACACTGTGTCCCACACGACTGCACACGTGAGGGCCTGGGTCCACCTGACACGTGGACCAGCATCGCGCAAAGCTGTGGCTTTGTCATTTCCCCAGCCAATCACAGAGCCGGGTCCCCAGCAGCCTGACCTGTTTCTGGCCTGATGCCAGGGACACTCCTGGGGCAACAGTGACCCTGGGCTCCCATTTTCAGCCTGCTCCGGCAGAGAGCCGAGGCCCAGAACGAAGGAGGGCCTCACGAAGCCCAGCTCCTTGTGCTGAAGCATGGAGGCAGGAAGGCCATGAGCTCACTCCCTCACACCAGCCCTCCAGTCTGCAGCCTCCGTCCACTTGGCAGCGGGTGTTTGTGTCCACAGCTAGAATGGCCTGCAGCCACAAGGGACTGCACCAGGACAGGGTCAAAGGGTACAGACGAGGGGCATGGGAAGGACAGCCAGGTAGGCTGCCAAGGGGCTCATGGGCCTTGGCTCCACATTCAACCTGGACCTCAGAGAAGAGCACATCTTTCTGGGTGCATCCTGAGAGCAACCCTCCCTCCACAGGTGCTCGCAGACAGGAAGCTGAGGGTGCAGCACGTGGGCCTGGCCAGAAGGGGGCGCTGCAGCCCTGGGTGTGCAGCGAGCCAGCGTCCCATAACCAAACCATGGCGTGCTCCCAGTTTAGTGTTGATTCTGACATCAACCCTAATTGGCGCAGTCCTTCAGGGTTGTGGCTGAGACCCTTGGGACCAGGAGGCCTGTCAGGGGGCCTTGGTGGGGAGCCTGTCCAGGGAAGAGAGCAGGGCCCAGGTCCGGTACAGGTAACTGTGTGTGGATTGCCCTGGCCTGGCTGTAGCACAATGCCATTGACTCTGGTCCCATGGAACCTGCAAGAATGTGTGGCTGCTTACCAAAGCCTCTATCCACACAGAAACCTGGGGAGACTCCACATCCCTTTGTAGTAAAATGCAGGTGGGCTCGCGGTTACAAAAGTCCAACTTACGGACTCCTCCTCGTCCCTAACCAGGTTCAGTCACAACTGACAAAGAGAAACAGGAATAATTGGGCAGAGTGGGCATGGTGCCCGGCATGGGAAAACAACCCGTTGAAGCCGTGGAGTGGGAGACTCAGGAGATCCTAGGGTGGGAGGCTGGGAAACCGAAGGATTGTGGAAAGGGACAGTGTGGTCGGCCCCCATGTTCGAGCAGGCCGCCTCCATCTTTGAATGGGGCAGGTCTGCTTTGGGCTGCGCTGGAATCCCAGGGCAGCAGCAATATGGTTGCCATGCAACGTGAGTGCTGCCCTGCTGCAGTGAGGCCTGCTCGGGAGGTTCCCTGGGTGGTGAACAGATTCCTTAGGAAGGCTCCGGCAGGCCTGCCCACCCGCAGACACTGCCTGTCACTTGAAGGTAAACAGTATTTGCAGATGTGCTGGTGCTTGAAGACACCTGGCCGGGGGGGGGCGGGCCTCAGTCTCTCCTCAGCCAGCCGGGGTCACAGAGGAGCCACCGGGCCCGGCTCCCTCAACTGCAGGCCTCTAGAATGGCTGGCATGGTGACCGCAAGTCACAGCCACACCACGGAGAGAGTCTGGGAGCTCTGAGCGCTGTGTCCCGGCCCGGTCCACCTTTCTGGCCCTGGGAGAAAGGGGCAGGGAGGCCCCCCCCCATTGGGCTCCAGCCCCCAGAAAGAGTAGAAACGCACCTCTGTCCTCAGAAGAAGTTCTTGATCAGGGGCGTCAGCAGCTTCACCCACAACTTCACCTGCCGGCTGGGCTGCTCAAAAGTGGCCGAGGACACCACACCTGAGCTCAGGTAGAGCCCTTCTTGCTCCTGAGGAAGAACAGACAGGCAGCTGTCAGGGTCAGCCCCACCCAGAGAGCAGCTGGCATGTCTGGGCCAGCGCAGGCCTGTCCCTGCAGGGTCCCTTCAAAAAGTACCTCGTAGGTACACCAGGAAGCCTGGGTCTCCTCTGCCGAGATCAAGCGCTACTCGGAGCAGGTAGTTTTGAGGTGAAGAAATCTGGCCTGTGGAAAAGCTACTTAGACGGCTCCCCGTGGGCAGGCGGGCAGGAGAGGAAGGTGCGCTGAAGGACACTGAGCAGGGTCCTGTGGGGGGCGAACCTGCGGAGCTTGTTTACTGTTGCTGAACTGAACAGGCACAAAAAGATTTTCTTCCAGTTCACTTCTCCATCAGCTTTCTAAAGCCCCCTCGGATTCAGCAAATACTCATGCATATAGCGCTGTGGGTTAATGCGCTGGACTGCAAAGTCAGGTTGAACCACAAGGTCGGTGGTTCAGGTTCACCAGCCTCTCCTCGGAAACCCTATACAAGGTCACTATGGATCGGCACCTAACAACAAAATACAGACCGAGTCCTGGTGTAGCGCTGTAGGAGCAGCTAGAAAACTCTGCACAGAGTCGCTATGAGTCAGAAGCGATTCAACTGCAGCCAATCAACAACATGGATCCTTTTTTAGAGAAAGATTCCCCCACTGAACAAAATCATTCAGATGAAAACTAAGGGTTTTCAAAAAACAAGACAAAGTTTCTCTTCTATCCCATATCAGGAGCCTGTGTGGAGAAGGCTGAGAGAAGGGGAGGTGGGGGCTGGTAAGTGAATCCCAAGAGCATGAGGACAATCTCCACACATGGCACTGGGGCTTCTGGGCGAAGAGATCTCCCCAGCACCATTCGAACAGGAGACAGCAGACTGGAAACCACACCATCGTTCCAACAGCCAGCAAGATCCAGGACACCACGAAAGACGCCACCACGCAAAAGGCGGTGAGAAGCTGGAGGCGAAGGAACACGAAGCCACGACTAAAAGCTCATGGAAAGATCCCATCATCTTTTCATCCTTTCCCACGAACTTTCTGAAACCTCACTGGTGTAGGATCTAACCCTAATTTAACTCAAAAGTAGAACAAGCCACCCCGTCTCTATCTGTGTCCAAGGTGGGCCCACAGTTAAGTCTCTCAGGGCTGGGCTGGGCTGGTCCAATGGGAAGGTTTGTCCCTTCTCAGAGTTCCCCATTTCCATGCACATTTAGATATACACTCGAGGAAGCTCCAAAAGGCGCACGGAGCCCTGGAATGACGAGATCAGAGAATATTTCTAGGACCATTTTGAAGTCCTGTCGATGTGTCTTACTGAAGGGGCGAGGGCGTGACTACCTTTCATCAGGTCAGCCACGAGCTTTAGGAGGCAGAGCGCCACCGCCCCCACTCTACACAACTATCATGAGGGTCAGTGGTGGCAAGTGCCGTCCCCAGACTTTCCTGTCATGGGCCGGGAGGATCGGGGCCCAGTGAGCAGAGCCCTGGCCCAGCCCCCACCTAGGCAGATCACAGTGACATAGGATGGCCCTCATGGAGAAGCCGGCTGGGCCCCGGGCTACTTTGCACAAGTCTCCACAGACTGAGCTCCAACTCCGTGTTCTCAGCTGACTCCTCAGCCAAGACGTCAACAGAATGGCCAGAAACACTTCAGCTTGCTCACAGGCTCCGCGGCAGGGACAGAGAAGGAAGTCGGCTGAGCAGGGTGACAATGCTACTCAAGGGGCATTTCATGGGTCACCAGGGGGGCGAGGCCTTTTCCCAACAAAACCAGGAAGCTTGTCCGCTTTATTGGATGCACTTAGTGAAGGGCGGGGCAGGGGTTCCGATGGAAACATCGCAGGTTCCCAGGGCTCACTGTAGCCTGCGAGTGGCGAGAGCCCGGGAGGCTGGCTGTGGCGGCGGTATTCAGCAGCTACAGTCCTGGGGCACAAGCCCATCGGCGGAACCTTCTAGAAGTGTGTGTCTCTAAGGACAGAAGGGCCACAGCAGCAGGCGCTAGCTACCACCCACCCACAGTGCGCGGCCCCTGGGACTCAGGTTTGGGAAGAGAAAGCAAATATCCCACACACAGGCCACATGGGCAGGCAGCTCCTGACCACGGGCAGTCCAGCCTCATCTCAAGATCCAGGATGTGGGTTCAGGAAGTGGGAAGGACAACCAGTACCAGGGTTCCCCCAGATTCGCCTAGGCCTGCTGAGAGTTCATCCTGGCCGCTGGTTGGGAAGAGTGCCGAGGGCCAGCTCACACCTCACAGGGGGCCGGCCCTATAACTGGGGGGGCACAAGCTCCCAAACAAGTGGCCCACCCCGCTGGCCCTGCACAGGGCGTGACCCTATCACCTCCTCTCTGTCCCAGTTGTAAAGTCCTTCCTGGCACCCAGCTCTCAGTTCCTGACAAGATTCCCGACTGGGGGAGGGCAGAGCCCCAGGAACAAGACCGTGACCACTTCCTTGCTCGGCAACAAAGGCTGCAGTCATTGCGCAAGGGCGATTCCCAAACCCGGGAGGGGCGTCAACAGCTGATGATCCAGAGGACTGCGGGGCGGGCTGTTCTCTGCATTCCCAGGACTGGGGAGGGACTGCCACTGCAGAGCCATGTCAGGGCCTTCTGGCCCACCACTACTGCCGCCAAGTCCAGCCAAAATGCTCCTTAAAAGCCAGCACTTGGGACATGTTGTCAGGAGGGGCTAGTCCCTGGGGAAGGACATCATGCTTGGAAAAGTGGAGGGTCAGCCTAGGAGAGGAAGACCCTCAGAGAGATGGCAGCAACAGCGGCTTAAACGTAATGAGAACTGTGGATGGCACAGGAACCACCCGAGTCACACTGACCAGCCAGCCCTCCGGCCACTGTCCAGCCTCTGCCCTGGCTTACAAGTGACTCTGAGAGCCGTGCGATGAGACACTCAAGTCTCCTCCAGGGAGCAAACGGTTTCCTGCCAGCCCAAGGCAACGTGATGCCAGCTCAGCGCGGCCCAGCACTCCTGGTCACTGGGACGGGGGTCTGAACGTGACTGTGGGTACGAGGAGAGCACGCCGACCTCTAGATGCGTAAGCCTAGCTGTCTGCTGGGGCTCAGCACCGGTTTCCCATGTACAACTGCGAGCGAGTGGCTGTGTGGCTCACTGGGTTCAGTAGCTCACTACCAAGTGCAGTCAGTCAGAAATCAACCACATTCAGTGCCACCGGACGGTTCAGATGGACACAGAGCCCTCCGAGGAAAGGGCCTGCAAGCCCCCAGTCCCCGGGCCCTGGGCCCCAGAGCTCCCCACCCCAGGAAGGCCCACCTGGTGGAGCTGCTGCTGCAGAGCTCGGTTCTCCGTCACGATGGCGATCTGGGCCTCCAGGTCGCGGTGGACCGACCTGTACCCAAAATTAGGAGAGCCAATCAGCGTGAGGCAGGGCAGGCTGCTCCCCGCCAGGTAGAGCCAGAGGCCTGCAGGGAAAAGGAAATGGACGACAGCAAGTGAGCACGCCCCCACCAGGCCCCCTGCAAGATGCCTGCTGCTGCCCACTCTCTCCTGAGGGGGACAGGCCTCAGTCACCCACTGCCTGCCCACGCTTAGAGTTAGACCCAACACTCCTTTCCTCCCCCTAGCCCACATCAAATGGGGCTGCACCCACACCTACTGAAGACCAGCTGCCCCATCGCAGCCCAGAGGGTACACAGGGAAGACAGAACCCGCCGAGCACTGCTCCCCTTTCTGCCTTAAAGCATCCCCCCAGCCCCACCCAAGACTGCTCCTCTCCTGGTGCCAGGGGCCCTTCTGCTGACCACGTCGTCCATCTGGTGAGGTTCCAGAGCACCGTGCCCACTCCCCTCTCCAGGCTCACAGCAATGACCCTCCACCAAAAAGGTGAGACGAGCATGCACGGTGGGGCACGAGGAGAGGAGACAGCGCACCCTGGACTTTCTAGATCCTGCTGCGGACCAGTGACCCAGGACACTGAGAAACTCCCTCCCTGGCGAGGAGATTCAGTGGCCCTAGTGGTCTGCTAGTGGGGAGCTCAGCCACCCCAGGTTACAGAGGCCAGGGGAGGGCAAAAACTGTTCCCCAACCCCAATCATCAAGTCCCACTCCTGCTCACCCAGCCTGACCTTTGGGTCCAACGTTCCCGAAACCATCATCTTAGAGATAAGTGTCGGGAAGAAATAGGCCTGCTGGGGCGTGGGCAAGGAGCCGTGGGCATGAAGACAGCTGACCTCCCTATACCACAGGCCAGTCACCAATGTCATTAGGCCCCTACCAAACCCGGAGACACTCTCCTCATCCCATTCCACCCACCCGGGGTGTGCTCTATGTGCTCTAGGGATGACACTTCCTAAATCTCCCAGGAAGGCTCGCATCCCAGATGTGGGCAGAGCCGGCTCCTCTGCTCACAAGTCACCACCCTGTCCCCCTTCTCCTTGCCAACCTGTTTGCTGCCGGCACTTTCTGCTACAGGTAGGCGGGAGCTACCCCATCCGTCCTGCCCTGGGCCCCACACCATGACAAGTCCAGTTTCCATCAAAGAATGAAGACTGGACTTGAGAGGGAGAAGCGGCGCCGTGTGAGGTCAGCATTCAGCCTGCTGTCCCCCTTCCTGCCCCGACAACCATCCACAGGATCCTCTACAGAGCTCCCAGTCCTTCTCATCACCAAGTGTCCTATCTGATGCTGGAACGGTTCCCGAAAGCTCCCTGGGGCCCACAGGCTGGCCACACCCCAGGACACCTGCCGCGAGCCGCACCCATCCTCAGCTCCCAGGCACTGTGCCGGGAAAGTGGCCTTCTCACAATCATTAACAGAGTCCCCACCAGCCTGAGGGAGCCAGGAACCTCTTCACCCAGCACCCCACCCCCACTCATGCACACAGATGACATCAAGGGCAACCGCTGACACTTGTTTTCGGGGTCCTTGTCCTGAAGCAGAATGACCCCCTGCCAATATGCAGGCACTGGGGGGAGAGGGAGGGCCCTGCCAGAGACACTGCTGGGTCCAGAGGGGTCAGAGTCAGGTCCAAGCAGACATCGCCATGATGGGCAAGTGCCCAGTTTCAGGCTCTGTCCCAGAGGACACTGTCCACGCTGGGGCAGCCCCGTCGGCTGTGTGTTCTCGTAGTGCCAGTAAGGGTCCAAACGCTAACACTGCCCCTGGACCCTGTCCCCTCACATTCATGGCTAAGGGAGCCACAGTCCTACTTTCCAGTCTCCAGGGTCCTCCCCAAGACCACACCTCATCCCAGGGAGCAACAGAACTCCAAGGACAGAGCTGGGGAAGGACACTGAGGGGTGCTGACCTCCTGACCCCACATCCACCTCATGGAGGGTCCAGGCCTCCCGACCCCCTCCCCAGCACCCTCCCACACACTCTCCTTCCCAGGCACAAACCTTACCCCACAACCTCACGTGACTGCCCCACTGTACAGACGGACGTACAGATGGATGCGGACAGCAGACTCCCCGGCATGGCCGAGGTCAGTGTGGGCTGCACACCGATTTGTGGATGCGGGACAACAGTAAAGGAGTCTCACAGACCCTCAGCTTTCTCAATGGGCACTTTCCACATTACTAGAGGAGTCCCAGACCCCTGGGCTCTGGGAGCAGCTGAATCTACCACGGGCTGTGAGAGGCTCCCAAGCACAGGAGCCCTTACACCCAGGAGCTCTTGTGATCTGAGGGGCTTCCTGCAGGCCGAGGTCACACAGCCACCGGCAATTCTGTGCCAGGGTGCAGGCTGCATCCACTCCGCCAGCACAGCTCTGGTCTCCACAGTTATCCAGGAAAGATGCGCAGGATACCCCCATGTACCGGTCAAGAAGCGTGCACTCACATGCCTACACACACACATGTACATTCTTGCGCACATCCCCCATGCCCCAAGGTCTAGCTCAGTCTGCGCTCCTGGACGCGGGCCCCAACTCCCCGGGAGACAAGAGCTGGCTGGTCCGGGAAAAGGCGGGCCCGACCGAAGAGGTGGCCTCATGGCCACGAGACCTCATCAGTACAGGGTCAGGGATGCCCCACACCCACCTCCAGAGACAGAACTTAGCAGCACGTGAGAGAAGAGGTGACCCCTCCCCCTGCTCCGGGCACAAGTACAGACTGACGCATGTTCAGACACGTGTGCAGCTGCACACTTAGATATGATGTATGCATACAAACATGTACACACACACAGACACACAAACAACGAGTCACAGCCCCCTCCCGCACACTGTCCTCAGCATACAGCCCACTGGCTGGTCCTCTTTCCCGACCTGAGAAGGCACACAGTACGAGAACAGAACGCAGGAAGCAGAATCCCTGGGGTGGGCTGAAACTAAGAGCCGGGTTCAGGGTGGAGCAATAGACTCTCCTGGGTCAGTCAGTCCGAACTACACTGTGGGGCCCACCCCAGAGAGCAGGGAGGGCGGGGACCAGGGTACACCTGGGCTCCGGTACTACATAAAATGTGCATCCAGCTGAAGCCCTGGAGGGTCTGAAAAGGACCACACTGGTGTATGCCCAAGGTGGTCTCCACAGGAGGGAGGCAGGGGCCAAAGCACTGACTGCCCATCAGTTCAGTCAGCTCTTCAGAGAGCTCCGGTCCAGGGCCTGTGGGGACACCCACAACAATGTGACTCAGAGAGCTGAGATGACACAGGTCTGGGCTGCTCCTCGAGGCAGTACTAGTGGCGGACCATCATTAGATGTCCTGGGCATACGGGGCAGGGCAGAATTCAGCAAGGACACAGGGAAGACAACACACAAATGACCCCCAATAACTTCTCTGGCCTTGGGAAGGGTCTTGCCAACAAGGGCAAACTCAGGGACACCAGAATGACCTACATATTGAATTTTTGTGTGTAAAAGGACGCTAGGACTCACTGATGCTCACGACAAGAGGACTGCTATCCTGCCCCAGGGAGTGGGCCCGGCTGCCAGCATACCTTTGGCATGGAATGTCCAGTCCCTCCGCCAGTACTCCTGAAGCCGGACACGCTCCTGCTGCCCCAGGCTGCACACCTCGCTGTAGAACTGCCGCTCGATGTGGACGTAGGCTGCCGGGATGGCGCCAGCCACGCCCTTGGCCCCGAAGAAGCCATTCACCTCTGGAGAGGCCAGCAGGATGTGGTACTCGGCCCGCGTGCCCAGAACCAAGTCCATGTAGGCCTGAGTCAGGTTGAAATAGCCGGTGGTGAGGTAGACCCTGGCACCACGCTCGGCCTCGGTCAGCAGGGTCTCAGTGACAATCTCATCGATCTGGATCTCAAAGGGCTTCATCTGGATCAGCGGGTAGATCCAGGTGTCAGGGGCTGGCTTCCGGTCACCGGCGGCGGCAGCATCCTCGTGGGTCAGGAGGGGGTCACTGTGGAAGGTCTGCACATGCAGAAGGTGCTGTCGGCTCTGCGCTGAGCGGATCACGCCCATGACCCTCCTGTGGGCAGCCTCACAGTACGCAGCCCGGTCACCTGGTGGGAGATGGGGAAGAGGGTGGGCTCAACCAGCACAGGAGGCTAACGCTGCGGCGCCTCCTTTCAGCCTGTCCGAGAGCCTGTGGTGACAGCCCTGCTGATGCCCAATGGAGACACATAGCCCTCCCTCAGCACAGGTCTCACACCCCCTCTCGGTCCTGTCAACTTCGCCCGGGGGTCAGCAATGGTTTTCTGGAAAGGGCCAGACAGCATACACTGTAGGCTTTGCCAGCTCAGAGGCACAGCTGGGGATAATGTGCACGTACATCCTAACAGGAGTCCCAGGGTGGTACAAAGGGCTAATGTGCTCTCAGCTGCTAACCCAAAGGTTTGAAGTTCGAATCTACTCAAAGACACTCACAGACATCTGGTGAGCTGCTTCTGAAAAATCATCCACTGAGAACCCCATGGAGCACAGTTCTATTCTGACACACATGTGGGGGTACCATGAGTGGGATCTACTTATGAAACATCACCCACTGAGAACCCTGTGGGCACAGTTCTACTCTGACACACACGGGGCACCAGGACTCAGCTGACGGCAATTGGTTTATATAAATGAGTGACAACAAATGCTGGTGATTTGGGGGGCGAAATTCTACACGTAATTACAGTCAAAATCAAGTACAACTAACTCTTTGAAGCACAGGTGTTCTAGAGAAGGATGGAACTCTTTCTGGGGAGGGAGAACAGTGCCCCTTGGGGCTCACGGAACTGACTGCAAATGTTCCCGGGTGAAGGCTGTTGGGGGCTGGGCAGTCGGGCTGGGCCTGGGGGCTGTACGTTGTCTTCCTTGATTCAGACTGGTTTGACAAAGTCCAGACAACAGCATGGTCCCCTGTCCAGAATAGGACCTCAGGCCAGAAGAAAACATTCACACAGCTCTCAAGGCACAGCCTACATTTCTTGGGGGGAACCACAGGCCCCTTTCTAACCAGGAAGAACCAAGAACACTGTCCATCCCACGGAGGTATCTGCCCAGGCCAGACACAGGGAGCCCAGGAAAGCCAGGCTGGACATGGGCACGAGCAGCCCCCAGTGGCCTCACAGCCCCACGCCTAAGCATGCTCAGTCCCCAAGTAACCTACATTTGGGCCCTTTCCTGCTAGGCAGAGCAGGCCACCAATTCAGCAGTCGGCCTTCCTCAGGGTAGGCCCATCAGGCACCCCCCTCCCAGGGAGCTGGCCTGTGCCCCCCAGCAGAGCTGGAGCCCACACAGGTCACCCAGTGCACTCTCAGGGGTACAGAGCCACGCCCTTACCTTTGTAGGGGTGCACCATGCCCTCCACCACCTGCACTGTGTTGTCACCCTGTAGCTGCAGGGACACGTCGGCCACAGCGTCCACCAGCTCGGTGAAGAAGTCGGCGACCTCCGGGCAGTCCTGCAGGAAGACGTAGCGGTCCTGGCGGTTGGTGAAGTAGGAGTCACTCAGGTTTGCGCTACAGGAAGGAAGAAGCCGTGAGGGCTCCAGCCAGAGGGGCTCCCACCAGGAGGACGCCACCAGCTAACACATGGCTTCTCAGCAGGGACCAGGGCCAAGGAGGCACGAGTCACACAGCGAGCTGAGCTGAGACGTGCAGACACCCGAAAAGGTGACGAGTGGCAGCCAAGCTGCAGCGTCAGTCCCACATGTCCCTGTCAACCTCGGGGACACTCACCCGCTCAGGATCACATTGTTGTCGAAGAGGTACACTTTGATATGCTGCAGGCCGATGGTCTCATTGAAGCGCTCAGGGATCAGGAGCCGGAGAAGCCCGCGCAGGTTTGGCGTGTGGAAGAGGGAGACCCGCACCTGCTCGGGGAACCTCTGCAGCAGCGGAAGCAGCATGGTGCGTGAGTTCTTCCGGCCTGGGTGTGCGGCAAGCAACAGGGACCAGTGTCCACACCGGGACGCACACAGCACTGCCAGTCCCCAGGACCCACCCGCTGCTCTGTCTGGACACCCACTCCAGCTTGGGCTAGGCTAGAGGGGTCAGTGGGGCAGATATCATCCAGGATCTGGTAACCTGCCCCCACCCATCCACTCTGGGCCTTCTACTCAGGCTGCCTCACCCCCCAGCTCATGGGGGAGCCCATTCAGGCTGCCAGGAGCTGTGTGTGACCTGGGGGAGCAGACTCTCCCTGTGGACAACTGCAGTCCTGAGATCAGCTCCAGCTGACGGAAGCAGACCAGGAGACCATCTGATGACAGAGTCCTCTCCCCAAAGCAGCACAGTCACAGAAGTGACGTTCGCTTTGCCTTTAGGGGACTTCCAGACCCTCCTACAGGAGTCCAAACTTTGGCTGTCGGGGACCCTGGGCCAGCCCCGGGCACTCTTCACTCCACCTGAGGACAGGGACTGGGGTGGGGCGGGGAGTAAGCAATGCCTACCTCTGGAACCCCGCATGAAGTCTAAGAGGATGGAGACCTTGAGGTCGCAGGGAAGCTTGGCTTGCAGCGACTCTTCCAGAGTGTTTTCCAGACAATCCACCTGTGAAGGGGAGGGGCCAACAGAAACGTCACCCACACCTGGCCTGTTGGCCCCAGGATGCCACTTCCTTCTCCGATGGCCTCCACAGCCAGCGGGAGCACTGAGGCCCAGAGGCTGCCCTGGTGCCTGACAGAGGCCTGCTTGCCCGCTCTGTCATGTGCTGTGCCTCGTGTCTAGGACAGGGGTCAGCAGGCACATTAGCACTGGGGCTCTGTGACACGCATGTCCCGCATGTCCCAACTGGTCTTCTTCCCCTGTCGTGTGCCTTAGAGCCATGCTGAAGTCAGCCAGGCAGAGGACCACATGTGGCATGTGGGTTGTAGTTTGCGAGCCCTGACGAGGTAGACAAAGTGGCCTTGAGACTCCTGGGTCCAGCGAAAGGGCCCCCGTGTCTCCCTCCGGGGCCCGCGTGACATAGTAGTGCTTACAACATGAAGGGGCAGGAGGCCAGGGTAAAACAAGCCCCTACCTGAGATCATCACCTTGACCATCCCAAATGGTAGACCATGAACAAGAGCAGTGTGGACGCGGCCAGCACCCCAGCAGCTCCCCGCACTTACCAGCTCCTGTTCCAAAGGCCCCGTCCCCAGGTAGAGGGACGCCATTACCACTCGCCTCCTGGCACTCTTTATCTGGCCCTGAAGGAAGAGAGACGATTGCCACACTGGGGTCCACTGAGGAAGGACAGTCTCTGTAGCTCAGTGGCACACAGTCACCAGGGTGGAGCAATCCTACATCACCTGCAACAAGAAACTTAGCGAAGCCCAAAGTGAGGTGGTGACCCTGCAGTCACCCTCATTTAAATACCTGCCCACAAAGGGAAGCGGCTATCAAAAAGAAGGAAAGGGTCTGCGGGTGCTGACCTGAAACAACGCCGCTACACACACCTGTCCGTAGGGGTGGGGGATGCTCAGGGGGCTGGCAGGAGGGAGTGCGTGCAATAGGAACAGGAGCTCTCCAGGTCATCCTTCCAGCACCTTCTGAAGCTTTTGTTGCTTTTGTTCAGCAGGGAGGGCTACACTGGCCCGAGTTCCCGTGTCCCCAGGGGAGCTGTGGTGACTGAACCCATTGTGCAGATGGACAGACTGAGCTCAGTGAGGGAGGAGCCTGCAGGTCCCAGGCCCCGCTGGGGAGGAGCTGCCTAAACTTTCCAGAACATGCACAAACAAACAACGTACAGACCCCCTAACATTCCATGAGGACACAGCATGCCAATCCTAACAGCCAGTGTCCCAGGCCCCACGAACCGAACAGGAGCAAGAAAAACCTGTTTCTGAAAAAGCCAAACCAGAGAGGAGCCAGCACATGGGAGAGCAGCACAAGCCTGGGACCTAGACACACCAACACACACCAGGCAGGACACAGCCAGGGCAGCGGTGAGCGAACCCACACAGACATGCATGCGCAGGAGCACTCTGGAATGAGCCAGCTAGACATGAGGTTTCCTGAGCATGTGCAAAACACAATAGGACACACGGAGAGAGAGCCTGCAAGCGGTCAAGTGAGTTATGGGCAGTCCACTGTCTGCACCAAGGTGAGCCTCTACAGATGTCTCCCAGCATCCTGCTCTCTGCCTGAGCCCTTCAGACTTCATTGTAGCATCACTGTTGAAGAGTTCAGAGTTCATGTTCATAAAACTGAACTGGCACAGAATGACCTCATCCTAATTCGCAGTTAAGTCATAACTAACTAGACGATGCACAAAAAGCCACACAGTGTGATGAAAACACAACACTAAGTGCAAAGTCCAGTGTCCCTGCTGGATGGGGCAAGCACAGACTTCATGGTCACTCCAGCACTGTGGGACCTGGCACCACTGACCTCACCTGCCTCCCCCAGAAATGAGGCTTCAGACCACTTCCAAAATGTCCAACACCATCCTTTCCATTCACACCTAGCTGGACTCCTGGTGGGGTACTGTAGGATCAACACTGGACTGTGAACCACAAGGGCAGCAGTTCAAACCCACCAGTTACTCCTTAGAAACCCTATACATGGTCACGATGAGTCGTTGAAACCGACTCGATGGCACTTAACAACAACAAAGCTGATGCTAGAGTCCTGATGTGGTGCTATAGGGTAAGCACTGGACTGCAAACCAAGGTCACCAGTCACTCTAGCAAATTAGTCGGGATCAACTTGACAGCACTAATGACAAGATGACGCTAATGCACTCAGGAGAGCGCCCCTCAGAGGAGTGACTGCAGACCCCGTTCCTACAGGCTTTACTAGAAGAGCCGGACCCAGGTGGGTCACCTGTGATGAGCAGTCTGTATCTTCACAAGGAACCCGCTCTGAAGCTCCCGATTCAGGCTCAGCTCAGCCATTTGAGAAGCCAAAGTCTAACAAGCACAACAGAAAAAGCCAAGCAGCCACCCAGCCACCAGAGGAACAGAGGCCGGAAGTGCTCTGTGCTCGCGAGCCTCACACACACACAACTTACCTTCATGACCTCAAAGAACTCTCCTGGGGAAGAAAGCACCTTGACATGGGAGCTGGAGACGCCAAACTCAGGGACCAAGTTTCGGATCCACTGGAACCTGTGCACGGCCTCTGGACACAGGCAGCAAGGCGGGGAGGTAACCTGGGTAACAGCAGGGGACAGCAAGGGGGCCAGCAGCAGCCATGGAGTCCTGGGGGAAAATGAGCAAACAGGTTGTGAGCTGCACTCCTCAAATGCCCCTTCAATGTCACGCATGGCTCCTTAGCAGGGAGCGCAGATTTCAGGGTCTTCCGGAACCTTTTTTTAAAATGTTTTATTGTGAATTATGTGATAGTTTACATGGGAGAACATTAGCTTTACATTCATCCTATTGTATATCGTTTCATTGCCGTGGTTACAATCCCCTCCATGCATCATCAACCAACCCAAGGGTATACCCTGCAAGCCTGCCCCCTGGTTGTCAGCACACAGCCCCTCTCCCTCTCTGGGCCTAGAGTTCCCAGCCGCTCCATCTCTTCACGTCATCCTCTCTGCCTCCATGTCTGGCATCATTATTTCTCTGGGTAAGGGTCCTGCTCTCCGCTCTTCTCCCATGATGGTCTCAGGGACCTCTGCTCCTAGACTGCAAGTCTATCACTCCCCTGCTTTTGCTACAAAACGTCTACCTGTACATTTCCAACCCTCACAATCATTCCTGATAACAACTATTCACTATTGTCTCACAAGAGACCTAGCCGCATTTCCTTTCATCAGCAGTGCCCAGAAAGATGGGATACTACTCATTGGAGATTCTACCTTCCTACATGCCCCTGGATCTAGGCTGCCTCTTGAAAGCTTATAAGCCAGTCACTTCTTGCCTTTGTAGCCCCCATTTTGGGTAGCCAATGTCCAAGTTGCCCATCCCTGTCTACTCTGTGTATGGAGGGGGTGGGAATGATCCTTGCTGTAAAGATTTGTTCCCTCTTTTGAGCTACTGCATCCATAGGTGTAGGTCAAGTTCATCAAATTCTATCAGATTTCTTTTTTTCCTCTTCGTTCTTCTTCTAGTTGAGCTCTGATCATCCAGTCACTGAAGCCAGGTCAAGTGGGTATTACCTGCAAGTGTGGGTGTTCTTATGCATATGCCCTCTCTTCTTATCAGCTGGACACTTCACGCTCCACTCTAGTCCTCTATGACTATGTCACTGACTCTGGGCCCAAGAGTCCCCAGGTCTTGCAACACTGCTGGCCAGCCAGTTCCCCACCAGGTTTACAGGAGTCTATTGAACGTTGTAGGACTTAGCTCGCAGCTTCATTGCTGTTTTTCCCTCACTTCCCCTTATTGGTGACGAACGTGGTCACCACCAATCAGAGCGTGTATTCCAAGTGAGTCTTAGTCTTGGAAGGGAGTGTGCCCTGAGAGGACCCGACCACTTGCCTTGATGTCTCCTGGGTGAGCAACTTGCTTGTTCTTGTAGTAATCAGTTGGACTGACATTATTGTTTTGTATTTTTCCTGTGGGTCTTTCTTTCAAGAAATATCTTCTGTTCTTCTAGCTACTCCAAGCTGGTCCACTTGTCCTTTCAAGTGGAAATTTCCCACCTCACAAGATTCTGGATGCTGTTCAGGATTCCACCTATGGTCTTACGTAATGCAGAGGCTCCACAGGAAGCCTCTTTCACTGGGCACATTGTAGCCCCATTTTAGGTAATCCAATCAGTAACAGACAGAAGATGAACTTACAAGCTTTCTATGGTGATATTTCTGGCTATTCCTTTCTCTCCCCCTCAAGTGTCTATTTTATAATAGTATGCCAAGGAAACCAAGATGCAAAAGACAGTCAAGCATCTTAAGATTATTTCCCCTATTCCAACCATGCCTCAATCCCTGTATCCCAGAGCCCTGTTGTGCCAAGGTTGTGCAGACATCATTTGACTCTACCACTTAGCCCATGCAAACCTGCCTAATTGTTCTCCCATCTGATTTGTTCTTCCATTCCCCTTCCCTTCTTGTGTATTTCCCCAGTCCCTAGCACACAAACTATCCTGTGTCTATTCCCTACTCTGTCTGTGCACCACCTTCCCCTCCCTCCCCTCACTCCACCCCACCCATCATGGTAAAAAGCAAAGAATCCCCTCCCCTTTAGTATGGGTTCTTTTTCTTAGTCTTTTACAATAGTGGTCCTATGCAGTATTTCTCCTTTTGTGACTGACTAATTTCACTCAACATAATGTCCACAAGGTTCATCCATGTTATGTGGTGGCTTGCAGCTTCCTTGTTATTCTTCAAGGTAGCATAATATTCCATTGTGTGTATGTACCACAGTTTGTTTATCCATTCTTCACTTGATGGGCACTTAGGCAGTCTCCATCTTTTTGCTATTGTGAATAATGCTGCTATGAACATTGGCGTGCAAATATCTAATCGTGTTGTGGCTCGTTTTTCTTGTGGGTAAATATCAAATAAAGGAATTGCTGGATGATAAGGTATTTCTTATTTCCAACCTTCTGAGGAAGCGCCATATTGCTTTCCAGAGAGGTTAGACCATTTTGCAGTCCCACCAGCAATGTAGGAGTGTCCCAGTTTCTCCACATCTCCGCCAGCATTTATTGTCCTCTCTCTATATATATATTTTTAATCTCTGCTGTTATTGCTGGTGTGAACGATACCTCACTGTTGTTTTGATTTGCATCTCTCTGATGGCTAGTGATCGTGAACATTTCTTCATGTTTGTTGGCTGCCTGGATCTTCTCCTTGATGAAGTGTCTGTTCAGGTCCTGTGCCCATTTTTTCATTGGATTATTTGTCTTTTCTTGTAGAGGTGTTAAAGTTTCCTATGTATTTTAGAAATGAGTCCCTTGTCTGATGTGTCATTTCAAAAGATATTTTCCCATTCTGTGGGTTCCCCTTTTACTCTTCTGGTGAAGTCTTTTGATGCACTTATGTTTTTAATCTTTAGTATGTCTCAATCATCTATTTTGTCTACTTTTGTGTAGTTTTCAAAATGTTTGGTAGTCTGTGTATTCCCTGAATTAGTGCCCTCACATTTGTCCCTGATTTTTCATTGCTGGCCTTCATAGCTCTGGGATTCACATTTAGGTCTTTAAGCCATGTTGAGCTGGTTTTTGTATAAGGCGTGAGGTGAAGGTCTTGTTTCAATCTTTTGCATATCGCTTTCCAGTTCTGCCAGCACCATCTGTTGAAGAGACTACCACCTCCCCATATGATATTTTTAGGTACTTTGTCAAAAATCAGTTGGCTGTATGTGGATGGATTAATTTCTGGATTCTCAATTCTGTTCCATTGATCAATGCATCTGTCATTGTACCAGTACCAGGCT